AAGTAGTACTTTTGAGGCCTTAAGTCTGCAGCCTCTTCTCTCTTCTTTTTCTTCTTCTTCTGCTCAACATGGTATCAGAGCAGGATCAACTAGGCCTGGAAAACAACCAACTGAGGTCTCTCTTCGCTGCTGCATAGAAGCTATAGTCTTGATGCTCAAAGACAAGGAAGAGGAAGCATTCTCTAATGCTGCGATTAGTCTTCACTGCTGAGTAGGGTTCTGCTACAAGAAAGCTGAACCAGAAGACTGACTGTTCAGCTTCCTAGCGCAGAACAGGGTTCTGCTTCATGTTTTCTGGGGTTGCTCGACTAAGAAGACTGTAGAAAACCATCCCGGATGTTCGAAGAAGGGTTCTGGCCTATAGATAAGATTGGGTTCATGAGTGTACTGCCTATTCACAGTTCGGGTGACCTGGGTACTGAACTGAAGTTTCTCTGTTTATGGTTCTCTTCTTGCACTCTTTCGATGGATTGTTAATGTCCATAAATGAGTAGGGACTGTTCGGCTATTTTGTTTTTCCCTCCTCCGATTTTGTGTTGCTTTATTCAGCTCTCTAAGGGACTGTTGTTGAACCCTAAACCCTAAGTGACTGTTCGGCTGCCCTGGAAAGTGGATATCAACCAATTAGGTGTGTTGAACCTCCACTTGTATTGTTGTATTGTTGTTCCTACTGATTAGGTGTGGATATTAGCACTTGTATTGTTGTTCCTACCGTGAAGCTGCATGAAAGTTGTAAATTTGTAGGTCATTTAGACATGGTTACACTGCAAGTGCAATGTTTGTATATTGTTCTGTGGACTCCAACAAAGCGTAGGTCATACAAACTAGTACTGCAGCTGCAGTGTTTGTGTTTGGTTCTCTGTGAAACCGAAAATCARCAAGTGCTTAGTTGTGGACTGTAGCAGCTCTGTAAGGCAGTGTACCTTTGTTTTGAGTTCTTCTAAACCTAGAACCATGAATAAGGAAAGATTGTGGTGCACTAATTTTCAGAAGCCCCGGCCCACCAAAGATACTTGTTGGGATCTCCATGGGAAACCAAAATGGGCTCAGGATTTACCTAAGAAGCAAGGTTTAGATGTAATTAGAAGACCCGGGCAACAAGGTACCAAGAAACACCACATGATCAATATGGTTACTCGGGAGAATCAGCCCTCCACTTCTACTGTGACTCAAACACCACATAGCCAACATAGCTACTCTAGATCTGACCCAAGGGAGGATATTGTAAACTCCTTCCGTGACCATTTGTAGCTTTATAGAAGAGCAATTCGCCAGGTGGATGCTCCTCCCACTACCCCTTTTGCATCCACATCAGGTAATCTTGCCACACCTTTCCATGCTGCTTCTCACAACCTTGACTCTCCATGGATCATTGATTCTGGAGCGTCAAAACACATGATTGGTATGTCCTCTTACTTTCAAACTTATCACCCTCTTTTCGGAAGAGATAAAGTGAGACTAGCTGATGGATCATACACTTCCATAGCTGGTCAAGGAACTATCTCTCTTCCCCTCAGCCTTACTCTTTCTGATGTTCTTCATGTTCCAAAATTCCCTATGAATTTGTTCTCAGTCAGTAGTGTTACAAATTCCTTAAACTGTCCTGTGACTTTTTTCCCTACCTATTGTGTGATTCATGATCTTGCCTCAGGGAGGACGATTGATAGGGGACGTATGGTTGATGGACTCTACATGCTGGAGAATACGACTGGCCTTCATGTTACAAAGTCTATGAGTCAGTTCAAAAAGAGTAAAATGTATTTGTGGCACTATCGTCTGGGTCATTTGTCTTTTGAGACCTTGAAATTTGTTTTTCCAGAACTGTGTAAGTCAATGTCTATTTCTAATCTTTCTTGTCAAACGTGTCAGTTAAGCAAGAATCGTAGAACTCAATTTCCTCAAAGAAATAGTAAATCTGAGTTTCCTTTTCACATTGTGCATTCTGATGTGTGGGGCCCTGTTACTTTACCTTCTGAGAGTGGCTACAAGTACTTCATTACCTTCATTGACGATTATTCCAGATACACTTGGGTATATCCAATAAGAACCCGTGAGGAAGTACCAAAATTATCCAAGATTTTCAATGGATGGTCTTCACCCAATTTCAGACTGAGATTCAAATATTTCAGTCAGACAATGTAAAAGAGTTTTTTCATAGTGACCTCACGGAGTTCTTTGCTTCACATGGCTCTCTTCATCGGAGCTCTTGTGCCCGTACGCCACAACAAAATGGTGTGGCTAAACGGAAGAACCGACACCTCCTTGAAGTGGCATGGGTTTTACTACTCCACATGAATGTTCCCAAATGTTTTTGAGTGGGCGGTGCCGCCAACCCCAGCGAATGCATCATTGCTAGGATTTTGTCGACCTTTTCTTGCATTGCTTGGTGTTGACAGGTGTATTATATGTATTGTACGCAGGTTTAGTGCCTGCAAGGGTATTTTTGTAATTTTTTGTAGTCCTCTTGTGTTGTACAGCCAGTATAGTATAAATACAAATGCTTCACTCGCATGAAGTAGTACTTTTGAGGCCTTAAGTCTGCAGCCTCTTCTCTTCTTCTTCTTCTTCTTCTTCTTCTTCTTCTTCTTCTTCTTCTTCTTCTTCTTCTTCTTCTTCCTTCCTTCCTTTCTTCTTCTTCTTCTGCTCAACACTTGGAACTGAACAGGGTCGATCGTGGCCTGTGGCTGCTGAGTTTCTTGGTGCAGGGGGCTGCGACGACAAGATTCCCGAGATGGGAATCGTGCTATTGAACGTTTGGAATGATTTCTAGGCATCTTGATTGCTTTCTTGAATGAGCGGTGAGAGAAATTTAGGGAAGGCTTTTTGTGCGTTTCCCACAGACAGCGCCAATTTGATGTTGCTCGACCCAAGGTGGTGCACGAACCAAGGTTGCAGTCAGATAGTCCTTGCCAATAGGGCGGAGCCGAGGTGGAAGGACGAAGTTGCACTCCAAGATCTGTGACCAAGAAAGATGTCAGAGGTCTGAGGAGTTATCCTTGGGTAGGCACTCCAACGCTCAAATTAGTAGAAAGTGGTGGGTAGTCGGGCCAAGCAATAAGAGTGCTGGTCCGAGCGAAGTAATAGTATGGGTGCTAGAAGTTGGAATCCCTTACCTTGAGTAGAGATACTTTTTTATAGTTGAAGGTTCGTATCTTGATCGGATTAGGCTTCCGGGGCTGTCGGGATGAGGTTAACCGCCGAGGTTTTCGGGATAAAGTCCTAATCCCCAGCAGAGTTGTCCCCATCCTCTCATGTTCTTGGTCGTACTTATCTATATGAGTGGAGTTGATGTGGCTAAGAGGATAAGGTGGGGTCTACGGAAGTAGCGTAGCACAATCATAGCTGTGGAGTCGGTGTATGCTGCAGAGTTGATAAAGTGACGTTGACATGACCGAGGTGACTGGGCAATAACTGAATGGCCACGTGAAGTCCAAGGCCAACTCAACCATGACCCAAGCAAATGGTAATGCTAATGTGTACTTGGTTCTAACACTATCCTCACACAAGAACCAAGGAAAAACTGAATTGTGAGAGAATATATTAAAAATGCATCAAATGCATAATTCTACATTCTGGAAAAATAACTTTTTATTGCTCAATCACTCCAGTTGTGTGGTATCTTCCTCATCCTACATAAATTACAAATACCTGTTAGAAGCAATGAAATCTCACATGATTCCTTGTTTTTCTTTTCTTTTTAATTATATGTTGTAACAATAGATAGAGAAGAAGATATACTTGGCTTGGTTGTGTTTGAATGTCCCCTGCAGCAAAGTCAACTGAAGCGGTTGTTGATCCTTTTGAGGCTGCTTTTAAGTGATAGTACTTCACAATTTGCAGTTTGGGGAAGATCAATGAATAAAGAAAAACATTTAACAGCTCAAAAAATGTTGAGATGGTAAAGAATAGAACTACAATGGACAGTAAGGTTGAAATATTCACCATAAATGAAGGTTTCAGAAAATTCAACAGTAAAATTTCCTTCATAAAATATTGCATATTGAAGGGATACTTGGGGTGCTTGGCGTGCGTAGGTCAATGTATTATGACAGGATGAAATCATGCTTGGCAGTAGGAATTTTGGGGGTAAATATGAATAGGTTGAACGTTGACTGGCTTTTCAAACAGAAAGACATTACAAATAACAAAATTAAGATTAACGACCATTAACTACAAGAAAATCGGTCTAAGCCGGCGGTAGGCCTTAAGACCGCCGGCTTTGATCTAAGGCGGTGGTCTTTAGTCCGCCCCTAAATCTCTGTCGGCTTACATCAAGACTACCGGCTTAGATGCAAAAGACCACGGGCTTAGGTGGGCGATTCAAATTGCTCAGAAGCAGTGGTCACATCGAGCCGCCGACTTAGCATTAATCAGGCAGACCGCCGCCTTAGATTTCTGTCAAATTCCCTCATGTTCTTAGGTGGCAGTCCGAACCGCTGGCTTATATGCGGAATGACCGCCGCCTTATGTGTTGTTTGTGGCTAAACAAGCAGTTCCATGACCGCCGGCTTAGATTTTTTTTTCTTTTTTTTATTATACTAGGTTAATTCTAACCTTTTTTGGTCATGTTGATAGCTAAGCCGACGGACATGACCGCCGGCATATACCTATTTTAAAAAAAAAAAAATGCATATATCCACTTAATTGCAGCATTTTTGTGGTAGCTGAATTTTTTATTGATTTAGCATTTTCATACCTGTTTAATATAGAAAAACCATGTGACAAAAATCAATTTAAAATGAAATCTATTAATTCAAAGATTATATATTAAAATATCCAAAAGACATTGTTCAAATACAATATCCAATTGGCATATAAATAATACAAGAACTTTAAAAAATAGGGAGAATGACCAATCAGCCCAGATCAGAATTTTATAGCCCCAAAGTACAGGGGGAATGCATCCTGACCGTGAATTGATGCCAAATTCACGGGCAGGATGTGGTTTATAGGGGGGGAGAGGGCTAGTAGTAGGGGGGGCTGGAATTCAGAATTCTGCATCGTGTGTATCCGTACTTGTCCGTAAAAAATAATCAAATTCTCTAATAATGCAGCACATCTTCCAATGCAAATCCACTTAACATATTGATTGAACCTGCAAATCAAAACATATAAATATTAGAATTATATTCAAGTATTTTAACTATAAAGATAGAGAACTAATAAAGGAAAATGAATATTCAATATATTCCTCATTCACTATTTCTACAAAAAAAAATTCAAATTCAAATTAAACTAATGGCAACAATATGTATGTAATCTTAATTTAGTGGGAGATGACTCATTTTGAACACTGCCTACAATTTTATAAGGGGGTTCTGGTTTTAATGCTAACCAGACAAGTGGGTTATGCCCTGCACCCTTGTAAATTTTGAAGTGGAAATTGAAGAGATTAAATGACAGAGCCAGTGAACCGTACTGTTATTGATTTATGGCTTAAGGTTTGGGGAGCTTTAAGCAATGGGAAGAAAAGGGATTTTGTGGAAGCTACAGAGAGAAAATGGGTTTCTATTACTCTGGAAGATTGAAAAAAAATGTTTTAATATGGTCATAGTTAGCTTAAATGCTTACTTTAATCATTAAACAGCTCAAGCAGAAAGATCATACCTTCTGTATTGAACAGGGATATCCCTGATTTGTACTGAACAATGTGTTGGAAGACAGGCTGAGAAAGATCAAAGTGCTTTAGGGGAGGGTTGCACCACCCTCCTGCATTGTTTGGCGGGCAGAAGTTTGTTGCAGTAACAATGATGGATCCTGGTAAACACCATTTGGGATCATTTACACATTTTATCTCATAACAAGCTCCACAACTCAACCCGTTGTTGAACAGAGCAGTACTTAGTGCAGTTGTATTTGTTCCATAACCTTGACTATATAGATTTCCATACCCACAAGCTCCACCTTCAACAACTGAAACATTGAGATGAGAGGATGACAGAGAAACCAGGACGACATTTTTAGAGAACAAAAGATGATTTTGGAAGAGATATGATCCTGTTCTTACCTATTGTACCAGAAGCATCACCACCTCCATAGAATGTAGCGTGGGCATCAGTCCACCCACTTCCAAAGCCATGAACTGTCTGCAACATGGCTAGAAGGACCATCAGGGAAACACCAAGGAAGTCCATTTCCTGCAAAAGAAAGAAAACAAGGGATAGTATCCAAAATTCACTGATACCCAAGAGAAGGCTGTAAAGTTTACTACATAGGTTGCTTGTTGTATCTTGAGCCTTGACCAGAGATGAGTTTAGGGATTTTGTTGTGGATATCATAGGAGATAGCAGATTGCTGCATGGTCCTAGATGCATAGACAAATTAGGTCTTTTAATCATTTCTTCTTTTATAGAAGACAAATTTTACATATAAAGTGAATATAAGATCATATACCATTTTCTTTACATGTCTAAGCTATAACCTAACCCACAGGCCACAACTCCATTATTGGATGACATGAGCATGCTTAGTTTGGTCCCAAAAACACTTTCCCGAATTCAAAGCAAAACAATGGCATTGGAAACCTAACGAGTACAAACCTACCCATTCCTCCTTTTAGATAATATTTGTTCAAGTTTTCTCAGAAAAGATGAAAAAGGTTAGACCCATAGGCAAAGATAAATTGCACCATGGCTGTGAATGGTTAGAGTGCAACACATAACAAAGTAACAAACCTTTGAAATAGTAAAATTTAGTTCTTTAGTTTTCCTTCTCAGCACCATTAGAGTACTAAAATTAACATCACCATACTTTGTGAGTTTTGCTGAAAACCAATTTTAGATAAATGATATAATAAAATATGAAAATAAGGACATAATACAATAAAAAGCTCTCAAACAGAGGAGATCCAACCCAACAAGCTCAAAGCAAAGAACTACAGAACAAATACCCAAAAACCACAAATTTACAAAATCAGACTACCAGAGTTAAAGCTACAAATAGATCTAATTAAGTAAATCAATAGATTAGTTATCAAGTTCTAACATGTAACTTTTTGGTGAAACCACAAGGTTCAGTAAAGAACTACTTAGGGGGTGGTGACACTTAGCCCCCTGCTGGGAAACTTCTGTGAAGTTTACTGATGGAATGGGAGCAAAGTGCTGGAATCCAGAAGAACAAATGGGTCTTTATCACAAAACAAAGCTTGGGGGGCTAAGTGTAACTAGCCCCTAAGTACAGGGTGGCTGCTTGTAATTTACCCTTTTATGATAGGTAATCAGAAATACGTGTACGTATAAATTTATGTATGTATGTATATGACATTTCTGTAGTCAATACAAACCATGCACAGTGATCTTTACATCTTGTATGCTGTAGCAGTCCAGAGATATTCTTCCACCTCCACCTCCACCCCATCCTCTACCACCTGCTGCACTAATAGTACCAGTTCCTTTCCTGACCAATTTAATACAATGCACAAATTAAATCAAGGCAAATAGTGAACCAAGTGAATCAGAAGTTCTTTGGAAAATCAAAGTGTTCTTACATTCTTGGTAATATAAAGGAAATGGCAAACTAGAACACAATACTAAAGGTTGGATAATGAAAGATGAGAGGAACAACATTGACATTTAAAGTTAAAAAGAAAAAGATATCCATAAATAACCAGCTAAGTTTCTCTCCTCTTAATGTCAGATTACAAATTTCACCATAGAATCTCATCATTCCACAGTTGCATGCATCAGGTAATGGGAAATCAAATTTTATGATATTCCTGTTATAGTCCTACGGTAGTCACACTTGTTACCTAAATGTTATGTGTATGAATAGTAGCTTTGCAGTTCAACAAGTTGAATTTCTAACATTATTTTTCAAGAAATGACAGATTGGAAGTTAATTCACCACCACCACAAAATATGAAAGATAATGTTCTAATTCAAGCCATTAGTAATCTAGCCATCTATCGAAAGTAAATATGCATACAGAAACATTTTTGGAATCAAAAACAAAAAATCTAAATCTTAGCAGATGTCATGAAAATATTGGGAAAAGAAAAATTCCTTAAAGAAAAAGGTATATGTTGCAGGTGGGTTTAGTCCTGTCTTAATTAAATCCCAGGTGAAAAGATTGAAAAGAGTGGCTGAAGTTGCACAGGAGTCTGTCCTACAGTCCAGCCTAATAGTCCCAAGCGGTAAGGTTTTGGTGGATTTTTTCATAAGTTAGAACTCTTGTGTTACTAAATATTCACCAAGTTTCAGCCAAATCAAATGAGCACAAGTACGCTTTCTGGACATACCTTTGCAACTGCTTTTTTGAAGACTGCAGGTTTTGGTCAATGGTTAAAGTCGACTATTTGATCGGTGGGCCACACAGGTTGAATTTTCCAAGGGTATAATATTATTGTTCCAGTTTCATCAGCTTTGGTTGAGGAATAAGTGACTTTTAGTTAAGTCTTCAATTAGGTAAAAAAAGTGTTGCATGTACTCTCCTAAGTGGATGAAATGTTTGTGCCATATATGCATCAAACTCTGACACTTCATGAATTCTAGAAGGGCACTCATATTTGACATGTTTCTTTATTCTCCTTGCTTATTCAACATAAATGAACAGTTAGCATACATAATAAATATCGTTTTTCTTATAAAATGTTATCAAGTAGCAAAGATAATCTTTAATACCTTCTCTATAGGTTTATGATGTTAAAATTCAAAATAAAATATGGACTAATAGTCCATACTTTTCGATAGACATTAATCAATTATTCATGAGTAATTGTTTCTTCATCTTGCTGAGTCAGACTCCTGGACACGTCAGATTCTAATTCCTGTGCCATTTTGGTAAAAAGAGGGCCAGTTTTCTATTTGTTCTTTATAAAACCACTGTAAGGGTAAAAAGAGGACCACTAAAAAGCTTGTTAATCCTAACATGTGAATCATCAGGAAACTGTTCCAAGACAAGCTAAATAATCAGCAACTTATATCTCCAAATTTCCAGGTATTGACAATGAATATGCTGGAGTATAGTGTAGCAAAATATTAAAGGACATCTTCCATGATAAAGACAGTGTCACATAGAAACCAGCCAAATACAGGATTTCTACTTAGAAGCAAGTAGAAAAGGAATAAAAGAAGCATACCATTACACTTGCACCATACATGAACTTCATGTAAAATGACTGAAAGGACCAGCAGTAGCCAAATACATGAAACTAAAGAAAGGGAAAAAATAGCTATCTTTACTTATTTCTAGTATCATTTGAGTTACTAAAGGGAAAATAATAGCTATCTAGTATCTAGAAAAAAGGTTAGTTATTCAAAGATCTAAGTGGATGCTTTTTCTATTCAGCGTGTTAATGATTACCAAATGGCAAAGCTAAAAAAGAGTGAGGCATTCACACTGGAAAGGGAGAGAGATCAGACAGGTAGAAGGAAACGCTGCACTAGCTCTGGCCTGGTTGATCTGTGAAACTTTGTGCTATTCTTTTAAGGTTATAAATTCAGCTCAAGAAAATATAAATACATGAACAGTCATCACCAGATTCAACATCTGAAGCCAACTAGAAATCCAACTTATGGATGTATAATTAGGCAGTTGATTTACACGCAGAGTCTTCACACAAATATAACATTGCTTCTGAGGTTTGTGAGTATGAATTCAAAATGAGTTCATCTTAAGAGCACTGTTGATCTTCAAATCAAATGAATTTGAAGAGTAACAGAGAAAGTTTTGAGCATCAGAATTGCAATTAAGCAATAGGGCTGGAACATAAAGAAACACTTCCAGAACCCAATTTCTCATAAATTAAGTCTATCAATTCCAACCAGTCTGGGTGTTCATAACTTCCCATCTGTCCTAGATTTATTAGAATGATAATGACCATTCAATAAGTCTGACCTTGAATGCTAACTGGATTGAAGATCCAGCTAAATTTTTAATGTATATTTTTCCAGAAAATGTTTGAATGGTAGAAAAATTGCACTTGAACTCTTCAAATGCTCTGAAAATGATAATTGAATCAGATTATCAAAAGCAATCTGATCATGCAGATTTTTGGTGTAGGCCTTCTCACAGGTGGAATCCATTAGATGATTGGCCCTAGTCCACTTAACATCCAACTGTTAAGTTATGAGAGCTCCAGACATAAACCAACAGACCTATATCCCTAGATTGAAGCCAATTCTAAGCTACATTATAATTTAGTTTTAAAACATCACTTAAAAAATGACATATGAATATTTAGTGGAAAGGGACAAAGTTTTCCAAATAAAATATTCTAAGCTTTATATTTAGGGTCAAAACAATTAAGATTCATTTTTCTTCTCTTGCCATCCTATTACTTGTCCCACTCCAAGTCAAGCAATCAATCCAATTCAATTCAAAAAAGCCTTATTCAGACAAAGTCAGGCAATCATACATGAGGGTTAATCTAGACAGAGAAACGAACAAGAAGCCAAAAGTAAATTTAACTTCATGGACAGCCACCTCATGCAAGTATGTTGCACTTCGCCTCACATTGTAGTCAGGATCAGTTAATGATGGGTACAGTGTAGGCACTAGGAAAATGAATTGGGAAAATGTAGAGGCCTGAACATGACAATACTGTCAGGAAGGGAACTAAGAAAACCTACCTCGGTTTATCAAAATTATGGGTTCAGTGTAGGAAATGGCAGCAGAGTTAAATGTGGAGAGATTTATGTGCACTAACTCTAGCCTGGGTGGCTGGGGAATGGGGTCTCAACTAGTAATGACCTGATTTTAAGGTTATAAATTCTTACTTCACATGGAGATGCAGAATTCCAACTTCATTGATCAAAAAGTTGGGCTACAGATACTTAATGTCGAGTTTGAGTCAGGCATTTAGCATCTTTAATGAGCAACAGTAAAACAAGAATTACTTGCCCATCATAGCATGCAGTGTTTGAACTAACTCGAATCTCTCATTCAACAACGCTGGCAAGAGTACATGTTACTATCACAACACCAAAAATGCTGAAATCTATGGATGTCTGAGCATTTTTCAATAACTGATTATATTACCTGGTTTTTTAAGTGGAAATGGAGTTGGTGGAGCAATCGAACCCATTGATGAGCAACTTGTCGAACACGCGAATAGGAGAGAACACGGACGTGTCCTGAGCATCTTCAACCTTCGTTAAAGATGTCTTGTCGGCGTTATTGATGAGCAAAACCTTCGTTAAAGATGTCTGAGCATCTTCAACCTTCGTTAAAGATTGAAGGTTCCTCTGAGCAAAAGCTTTTGCCTTTGTCGAAAACGCGGAGAGGAGAGAACGCGGGAGCAAAGTAGGGGTGTAAACGGATCGAATTCGAATCGGATCAGGTAATATTCGAATTTGAATTCGATTAGAAAATCCGATATCGAATTCGATTCCATATCCGACGAATATTAAAAATTAATATCCGAATTCGAATCTGATTAAATATTTGAATATCCATTCAATTTTAATTCAATTAATTAATTATTTTAGATAATTAATAAATATATAAAATAAATATTTTATTGATATAAAGTATATAAATATATAAATTATTTATATAACTTAATTCTTATATATATTATATATAAGAATTAAATAATCAGTCAAATTCGGATATTTATCGAATCGAATCAGATCATATCCGAATTCGAATCTGATTAATTATTCAATAAGAATAGGATATCCAAATTCGATTTGATTATATCGAATATCGAATTCGAATACCTTTGACACCCTACATTTGAGTTTTCTCCCCTCTCTCTCAGCAGTTTAATATTTATATTTAGGCCGGTCCAAACCCAGTTTACGATTTAATGTTTTTTTGCATATTAAGGTTTTGAGGCACTTTTGCCTTAACTATAGCGGCAGTCTTTAAGGCTGCCGGCTTGCTTAGGCCATTTTTCTTGAAATCCGTGAAGGCGTATGAGAGTGTTTGGTTTCCTTTATCTTTATTGAATAAACTTTTACAAAATCGGAAAAAACTATTAATGAGGGTGTTTATAATATATTGGCACTATTAGGCATCATATCAACAAAATGCCAATAAATACTTACCCCTTTCTTTAAGCTTCCTAAAGGGAAGAGGCACATAGAATTTGCAAACATCGATATACACGGATACAAATAATAATAGTTTTGTTGATGGGGCGCCTATGTGGCATTGTTTACTCAATAAAACTAAAGAGAACCAAACAAATATATAATGAAGACCATTATCCGATGTTATCATGCTATTTTGCCTTGAAAATGGTGGAGTGGCTAAAGCCTTGAACGCACTTTGTCAATCTTATCAGCCCTAAATTTTGTGATCAGACCAAACAACGATTTCTTTGGAGACATCACTAAGAAAAAACAAAAGTTGTAGAAACAGAAGCCCGTTGTCAAATACCCAAATTATCAAAAGAATGAACCTGGGAAAATATGTGAGTACATCAAATTAAATAAGTTCTCATTTAAACTGACTCTAAGGTAACACCTTAGATTAACAAAACCCTGGAGTTAGTTACTTTACTCCCAAGTTAAAGAATAAGTTGAGAAGTATTTTCTATTTGATAAGAATGGATATTTCTTTGATCCATTAGGGAATAAAGGTCTAATTAGACACCAAATTGGGTTTGTGTTTTTTTTTTCTTTTTTGTTTATCAACCAATGGGAAATTTTGTTATTTATAGTAGGGAAAAGGCGCGTTGAGAAGGTGTGTTACTGTGTTATTACCTAAAATAATAAATCACAATAAGTTATCTTAAAATTAAAAAAAAAAAAAAAGAGATCACCCCGATCAAACAATGGATGCATAGTTATGGCCTTAGAAAATTTGCATATAAGTTAAAAAAAAAAAACTGAAAAAACTTACTGGTTTTGTGAAATTGGGACCAATTCATCAGTTATCCAATTTGATTGACCAATTTTTTATGACCTCCAATTTTTAGTGTATGATCTAATTGATGAATCACAGTTAGGGGTGGCAACCCGTTGATCCATTTTCAGTTTTTCACCCATATTTATTGATATTAGTGGGCCAAAACCCACCCATATTGAACCGCTGACCCATTTTCCACCCATATTTATTGATATTAGTGGGTCACAGCCCACCTTAACCCACCTATATGACCTGCCGACCCAAATTAGACACTAAAAAAAACTTTTAACCCTGTTTCTATTCCCCATTGTTTTTTTTTTTATTTGGTAAAAAGAATTTTAATAAAAAGAAAGAGAGAAAAAACACAAAAAAACAAGAATCGAAGAAAAACACAGCAGGAGAAACAAGAAGAAACACCACCAAATAAAAACAAAGCAAACTATGGGGGCCTATCAAACCCAGAAACTGAAAAAACAGATTCAATCTCCACCATAAGAGACAACCAATCTGGAGGAGAGAACCAATATGAAACTAAGCCATTCAATCCTTTTGAAGCAAGTTGTGAGCTGTTGAAACAAATTATCTCTTAACATGAGAATGATACCATCAAGATTACGGATGTTAAATAAAGTATATGTTTGGGGGCATTTTCTCAAATAAACCACACTTTAAATGTTTCTTCATTTGACTATTTGGTTAGGTGTTTCTAATAACAGCCCATAAAATCACTCGTCACATCAACACAGATGAATAAACGTTTTTTTGCTGAATAGTTGTTTGGTGGGGCGTTTAAAGAAACAATAAGTAGCATGATTCAGTATAATATTTTTTTGGTACTTAAGTGCAATAGAGTTGATCCAATGGTGTTAATTACTCACCCTATCACACCAATGCGTGATGAACAATCAGTGTGGAGGTAGTTACCCACACCATCTTTCCTTGCGTTGCATAAGAACCCCCCCTCTTTCCTAAACATCTGCAAACATCTCCCCGTAACTTTCGTAACGCATATACCTTTCTTCACTCTCAAATCTCAACTCTTAGCAATGGGCGAAGTTGCTCACCATTTCAGCAGTAGGTTAGCAACGGCTCCTCTCCTCGACTCTCTATCAATCAGTCTCTCTGAGAGATTGGATGTCAGTGTGTTGAGAAATCGATTAGCAGTGGTGTCGACGCCGGAAAAATAGGCAGACATATTCAACATGTTAGAAAGGCATGATACCAGAAAAGCTTACAACCAATAATTCACAGGAATTGTAATTACCTTTCCAGTATGTTGTCTTTCTGGTATCATAGATTTTACCATAGGCTAACTAGCAAGCTAGCAATCAAAAGATTGAAAGGCCAAAGCTTTAATCAAAGCTCTATGACTAACATTGAGAAGCGAGCAATGAACCTAAAACCTTGAAGGCCAAATGATAAAGAAAGCATGTGTGTGTATTCATCTCCTCATTTTTACTTTTCTTTCAGTTTTAGATCAAAGCATAGATAATACGCAAACCATCGTCTCTCTCTCTCTCATTTCTCTTTATTTCATAGGCACTTGGTATATCTCTTTGTCATGAGGTAAGGTGACTCTCACGGGCCATTGGGGATGAAGGGGTTCAAAACCTGTAGTGGAGATAAACATACATGGGCCATGGCTTCCCTTGGCTCCGAATTCTAGAGAAAATCGAGATCGGAAGTTCCACACTTCCTTTGTTGATTGGATCATAGAAACATAATGAATCAAAAGCATCCTTTAATTAGGGTTTATACTTGTTCATGTTTTCATCTTTCTCGATTAGAAGATTGGATAAAAGAAACAAAATGGTAGTAATAAGAAGAAACAAAATGGTAGATTGGACCACCCCCCGTTGTGCAGCCCCATGAAGAAGAAGAAACAAAATGGTAGAATGGTAGATTGGACCGAATACCTTATTCCTTGGCAGCTAGTGGCTCAATGGGTATCGTCAAACTTGCCCACCCATAGTAACCCTCTATTCAAATGGGTTTGGATCAAAATTGTCAACTCTAATAAGAATTTTCAATTTATTTCTAAATGGGGTAGCCGGTTCTCCACTTGGGATGTGCTACTCGCCACACTATATGTAAAAGCCTACATAACCAATCACAAGTGAATACAACAATGTTATATCCACATGAATCCCACAATCATGTATAGGATATTAGGTTGAATGGATAGCTTTGGAAGCACACACAACATGAGGGGCTCCTAATACTGCCACATATCTCATATTTGGAGAATTGGTATTTGGGATCAGTAGTGTAATTCGAGATCGAATTTGTTCCTCATAAAGCACGCCTCACAGCATGTTTCAGTCATGTCTCTGTAATTATAAATTTTTATTCATGGGAGATGTTCCCAATGAACAGCTGAAACATATTGTGAGACTGGTGTGAGGCGTGCTCTGTTAGGAGCAGATCCAAACTCGTGTAAGTCCTGGTTGCTTTGCCTTGAAGGAGGATTTGGAGAATGATACAGAAAAGGTTAATGTGTTGTCTTAATTATTATTAGCATAGAATGTTCCTTAGAGAAGTCCATGAACAAGATATCAAGAAATATAAATATCAAATGCTCAAGATTTAACAATGCCGAGTTCAATTTAGCCCCACGTTACAGCTCGAATAAGCTCAATTTACAAAAGATTTTGTCTAATACAGGACAAGTTGCCTGTATTAGACCGAACAAATTAATTCAGTAGTAACCCAATGCATATGGGGAAAATTGATCTTGATTCTTGAGACGGTGTTTAACTTTTAGGGGGCATTCTTCTTTTGGATTTGAAGAGGGGGGAAAGTTGGTCAATTCAGGGAAAGTTTATTTTCCTAGGTTTCACTTACATAGGAAAGTGATACCCATCTCCTAAGTGGGTAAATAACTTTCCCACATAGGGGGAAAGTTGCCAAAATTTGAATGGGATAAAAATGCCCTTTTTAATAATGGATTTCTATGGTTAAAATGGTTATTGCCTTATTTACCTGAGAAATAAAAGAACATGGATAAATGTACTTATTTGGATAAATGTCTCAGAAACACTTATCCAGGTAAGTGCATTTACCTAGATAAATAACTTACCAAAAAGCCATGAGGCCTTGAGCCCACTACGGGGCTTTACCTCTTCTGAAATTTGTTTCAACCCATGGAACAAATACTACCTTCCCATCATCAACGTTTGCATGTGCCAACGCCAAAGACCGTTTCACAGTAGAATCAAAATTTTGTCATTACAAAGAAAAGAAAAGTGTACAAAAATTTAGAATTGAGGCTTTATAAACTAGTAGTTATACTATGAAGAAATGACAGAAACAAGGGATAAGTATTGCATTCCTTATCAGAGGTGCATGTCCTCTAACAATCTTCCCTTGATTGTTGTATTGGGAACCAAGAGTTTTG